TGGGTTTGTTTCTTCATCAGAACAGATTTGGAGAAATGCAGCATTACATCACTTGCTCACCAGTGGATCCTCTGCAGTGAATGGGTGCCGTCAGAATGAGAGTCCAAACAGCTGATAAAAACATCTCAATAATCCACAAACAATTCACACCACTCCAGTCCATCTATTAACATCTTGTGAAGAAAAAAGCTCTAAGTTTGTAACAAACAAATCCATCATGAAGATGTTGTAACTTGAAATCATTGCTTTGGGTTAAAATATGAGTCCATAATGAATAATAACCGTTTGGCCAGTAAAAAAAAGTCCATCTCCTGTTGTCTTCACACATCAAAATCTACCAATATATTGTTAGAACTGTTTTTGACTGTTTTTCACTTGTAAACGGTGCTTGATCTGTGTATATTTCTCTTTTGATTCAGACGAGATGACTTTTTCACTGGAGAAATCGAAATTATGGATAGAGGATACTTTTAAAGTCATACATGTCTTACAGATGGATTTGTTTCTAAGACGTTAACTGATGGATTGGAGTGGTGTGGATTACTTGTGGATTATTGTGATGTTTTTATCAGCTGTTTGGACTCTCATTCTGACGGCACCCATTCACTGCAGAAGCTCCACTTGTGAGCAAGTGATGTAATGCTAAATTTCTCTAAATCTGTTCTCATCTACAATAATTCATCTACATCTTGGGTAGCCTGAGGGTGTTTTTTTAGGACAACCAGTTTTAGCTGGATTCTTACAGCGATGGACATTCAATGCAACCCAGTAACAAACCCTATAGATGTCAGAGACAGAAATAACACAACTTAAAGATAAAGTCTGTGAAAGTTTTTTTATTTACCCCCAGAGGGATAAATAGACGGGACCAGCACAGATTTTGCAGGTCGATTTTTCATCTTGTTTATATGCAGGCAAGTTGTTACTGGAAACATGGTGGTTTTTGTGGTGCAAATGTATCCTGTTTGTTGCTGCTGTTTATTCGTCCTGCTCTTGTGCTGTTCTGGTTTATTTATGTGTTTTATCTGTTTGTTGATTCAGATGTGGCCCATACATTCAGAGATCTCCAACTGCGTCATCAAACGTGAGGAGGAGAGATGCTTGGAGCGAATTGCCCTGCACGACCCTAAAGATGACGAAGAGTTTGGTAAGAGAGAGCAAAGGCTATCTAACACATTTACAGTATATACAGTATAATATGTATACAGAGTATATGCATGGAATGTCCAGATGACCAAATGTGGCAAAATGTGAAGTGTACATCTAGTATGGAATTCTCTTACATAAACCAGTGCGTTTGATCTTCCAATTACAGTGTGAAAGATGAACAGGAAATGATAACGGCTAAAGTTTTCCCTTTCTAGAGTAATTTTCAATCCGACTGCATCAAACAGTGAGAGCCGCCTCTTTTGCACATGTCTGATTCACAATGAACCGTGAACTGATGAGTGAGCTGATAGTAAGAGCATTTTTGTAAACAAAGATTTTGACTAATGGGGCAAAATATAAGTTACTTTAATAGCTGATTACAATAAAAAAAATATATATATTTTTAAATAAATGTAACTGTCACACCTCAAGGACCTGTTTTGTTGTGTTTCCTTCCCCATGTGCTCTGTTTGACCTAGTTTTTCCTCATGTCTGATTATTGTCATTTGGTTCAGGTGTGTGTCATTAATTACCCTCATCAGCACTCCTATTTAAGTTGTGTTCAGTTCACTGTTTGTCGTTCGGTCTAATTAGTCCCTACGTGTTCATCCTGCCTGTCTGTCCGGTGTTTGCCTTATTGTGGACTATTAAAGACTATTTGCATCTATTTTCGCGCGTGTATCTCACGGTAGCGTGACAGTAATTTAATTAAATTACGTTTTCGTACGCAACTGTTCTAAAGTTTGGGATCAATAAGATATTGTTATTGAAAAAAGACTCTTATACTTACCAAGGCTTCGTTTATTAGAAAATGCAGTAAAAACAGTAGAAAAAAGGGAAATATTATTACAATTTAAAATAATGGTTTTCTATGTGAATATATATTTAAAATGTAATTTATTGCTGTGATCAAAGCTGAATTTTCAGCATCATCACTCCAGTCTTCAGTGTCACATGATCCTTCTGAAATCAGTCTAATATGCTGATTTGCTGCTCAAGAAACATTTCTGTTTATTATCAATGTTTAAAAATGTTGAATATTTTTGTGGAAATTGTGATACGTTTTTCTTCATGATTTTGTGATGGACATAAATTTCAAAAATTTTAAATGTTTTTTTTTTAAACATTATAAATGCCTTCACTGCCACTTTTGATTAATTTAGTGCATCCTTGCGGAGTATTAATTTCTTTACTAATTTTACTAACCCCAAACTTTTGAACAATTGTGTAACTAAATTATGTTTAAGTCACTTTATATTTTATTAAACTGAAATGGGATACATGAAATTACAACAAACACTCTTTATTATTGAAACTCATGAGAAAAACTGTAATTTTTGCAACCATATGGCTTTATTGGACTGTGTAAGAGCATGTAATATGCCAGATGGGGATGTCAGCAACCATCAAAAAGCTGCTGAATCATTTTTTTAACTGACTCATTGAATTGAACAGTTCGATTCATAGAAGTGGTTTGGAACGGTTACAATGCAACATTCCATCTAGCGTGTTTTCCATTCTGTCTTCCCATCTCACTCTCAGTCCTTCTTCTGAAAGAATGACTCATGATTCTCCATCTCTCCCAAAGCCTCAATATACTAAATTAACTAGAACTTGCGTTCATTGGGTTAATTTCACTCGGCGTGTACTAAATGTGTCATCCGTCCCCTATAGAGGTATTCAGGTATTGTGGTAAACAGGAAGCAGGGCTGTGACACCTGTCAGCAATTACAGGGAAGAGATGTTATTTTTGTGAGAGCTGGAGGACTCATCCAGTGGGATGTGGATAAATGGGCCGAGAGGAAGATGGAGAGAAAGTTCCTAGCACCTGTCGCTTACTGATTGTTTGGTGATTATAAATATGAGCGTAGTTCGTCTGTTAATATCACATGCACTTTTTTGTTTGTTGTTTTTTTTAGTTTGTTACTCAGAAGCAGGCAGACAAAAAAGTAATATAGCCAAAACAACCGCATAGTGGATCATCTATCTTTAGTGTAGATGCATGTTGATTTTAGATGATGCCGCGATTATTATAAACGAGAGTGACTCCTGGTTAACATGTATTAAAAGGGGTCGTGTTTAGTCACTATTTAGTGTGGTATTTTTTGACAATATTCACTCATCATGACAGTAAAATGGGGCATTCTAAATCAATATACTGCAGTATTTCCTCTCTCAATCAGTAGAAAATATGGTTAACACCCGGTCATGCATGAAAAAAAATACCGTCATGTACCGTGAAACCGGTATAATTTTGAAAAATACTGAGATATAAAGTTTTGGCCATACCGCCCAGCACTAAGTTTGATTCAGCAGTGAGTGGGTGAGATTTTTTTTTATGGTTCTTTAGTCGTTTTAAGGTGAACAAAAATGGCAAAATATTACAAGATGTGCATGTTTAAATGTACACTACCTGTCAAAGGTTTGGACTCAGTAAGATAAGAAATTAACACTTTTATTGAGCAAGGATGCGTTAAATTGATTAAAAAAAATTACAGTTGGCATTTATGATGTTACAAAAGATGTTACATTTATGTTGTTCTATTCCGAATAAATGCTGTTCTTTTGAACTTTCTGTTCAGCAAAGAATCCTGGAAATGGAAAATATATGAATGTTTTCATAAAAAAATGTTTGATTAGCACAACTGTTTTCAGCATTTATAATAATAAGAAATGTTTTTTGTCAAATCAGCATATTAGAATGATTTCTGAAGGATCACGTGACACTGAAGACTGGACTAATGATGCTGAAAATTCAGCTTTACATCACAGGAATATATTTTATTAAAATATATATTTGAAAAAGAAAACAGTTATTTTAAATAGTAAAAATATTTCACAATATTACTGTTTTTACTGTATTTTTAATCAAACAATTTAATCAAAGTAATAAATAATATGAATGTTTTTCTTAGCAGTTAAATGCACTGTAAGGTATGAAGGAAACTTCATTTTAACAAACTTGATGAGAATAAGGTAAAGTGTTTGACTGTGTGTGTTCAGACATCTCGTCTTTCAGCCTTGCTTCAAAGCCATTAAATTCTTGGCAAATTTTAGCCGTCCAATCAGCATCCTCTGGGGGCGGTTAAGCTAATTAGACGACAATAGTACCCTCAACCGCAACGGAGAGCAACATGCTTACCAGCAGAGAATTAAGCGTCAGTTTCAAGATATCTGCAAACCATTAATACGCCAGTAATTGAAACCCTTGTTAAACTCAAAGCTACACTCTAAAAGATGCTGGGTTAAATACAACCCAGTGCTGGGTAAAATAGGGACAAACCCAGCAATTGGGTTGTTTTGACCCAGCGGCTGGGTTACTACCCAGAAGGTTGGGTTAAACATTTAACCCAACCGCTGGGTCAAAACAGCCCAATTGCTGGGTTTGTCCCTATTTTACCCAGCACTGGGTTGTATTTGACCCAGCATTTTTTAGAGTGTATCATTGGTGGGGAAGGAGTTTGTACAGTAGCTGCAAAATATGGATTTAGTGAACTCAAGGTCATTCTGAGCACAGACACCTGTAATTTATACCTTCAAATGCATTTGATCTTGCATTTGATGATATAACAAACATCAGTTTGAATTGTGTGCTTGTGCTGTTTTTCTTTACAGTAAATGCTGCTTGGTTTGACATTTTTGTGCATGTAATGCAGTGACTTTAGTGTCTCTGTGTTTTTGAACTGGGAGTATTTTGGAGGAATAACCTCTGTGTTCAGCTTGTTTACATCTGCTTCATTAATCCTCGTCCTCTCCTGTTCCTTAAAGCACAGCAGGCTCATCGCTGCGCAGACAGAAAATCATTCAGCCGGAAATAAAACAGCCACGTTTGCAAGAAGGGGTTGAGAAAGAGATTGACAGATGCAGACAGAAAAAGCAAAAGTGTGTGGGAGAGAAATTGAGACAAAAGAGAAAGTGAGCGAGAGTGGTACTAGTGTCATTTAGAACATGAACGTAAGCAAAATAACACAGATATGAACAATCACTGCATTTTTACGTCACTAGTGCTGTCTGTCAAAAAAAGAAAGCAGTATCAACTGCAGTTTTTTTATAATTTTCATCTTGATTAATTATTTGATTGGTCTGCCAAAAGGTCAGATATTTTACACAGGGTTAAAAATGCTAAATAAATATATACAGTATATATATATTTTTTAAAAGATGATAACATCTTGATGATACACTCGTTGAATTAAACATGCAATGTAATGTGACTGTTATTTTAGTATTATTTATATACTTTTATAATTTTGTTATACTATTATAACATTTTATTATTAATAGTTATAATATGAATATATTATTAGTTATAATGTTCCTATATTGTTGTAGTATAATAATAGAATCATATATTATAACATTAAAATATTATATTATTAATATTTTAAATTAGGAACAAATTACATTTATA